AGTGTTAAGTGTGATAGCGAATATTTTACAATCAGGAGCGATGTAGAAAGGAAGAGAGGAAGACCGAAGATGTGTCGGAATATGGAAATGGAGAAGGTCGTGTTGGATGAGATGATGATTGGTAAAAGAAAGGTGCTGAGTCAGGATGTTTGTGCCGATTCAAAGACCGGTGTTTCGGATACGGCCAATAAAAAAACTATGACCGAGAAATCGGCGAATAAAGATGATGGGATATCCGGATCTAAAGGTAGTGTGGTGGAGAATAACAGCACGGTAAAAAGCAATCAGCCATCAGTTGGTGCACAACAGGACAAAGCAAAACGTAGAATAACACCTGTTCTGATACCGCAGCTCACAAATTACGAAAATAAGATCGCGAGCGTAAAGAATAGCATTTATGTGCTGTTCACAGGAAATGAGGATCGCAGGGTGGAGAGAGAATGCATCAAACCGGTTTTAATGAGGATGAAGGAAATAACGGTCAGGATTAGCTGTGATGGCAGTGTAGAACAAATCGGAGGGCGGAAAGTGTGCGGTTGTCATCGTAACCAGAAAGAACGAAATGTAGGAAACACAGACCAAAACATTCCAACAAATGATGGTGATCGTGCCACTCTTGTGAGTGGTAACACCGGGGTGAGAAAGGAAAGGAGCATCTCCTTTAGTTTGTACACCATAGATGTTTCCATCAATGATGTGCTCAGGTACAAGAATGTATGCCTGCTTGCATTCTCTAACAAGTACATCGCAGTTTATACAAATGTTCTGATAGTGAAGAGCGTAATCTCAGGGCAATTGCTTTTGCCATTTATCAAGCAGAATGTGCTATACGTGGACATAAGGGGTGATAATCTGCTGCTGTTCATGGGTGATACGTTTTTGATAATAAACCTGAAAGGAGAAAGTTGTTAATGATGTGCTGTTTGATACATACAGTCTTTGTTTTGCTAAGGAGTACTTCATAGTAGGAAGCGATCTACAAGGCAACAAGTATTTCTTTATGAAGGAGATCGGTGAGTGGTGTAGGGTTAATCATGAAGAGAGCGATGGGTTTAGAATTGTTAGAGAGAAGGGCACTGAACGTAATGGATTGTTGAATGAGGGTGGGGATGGTATACTGTGTGATAAGATGGGTGCTGATGATGCAGGAAGCGGTAGAGGTGATGGTGTAGTTCATGATATTACGAGTGATAAAAGCATTGTTCCTGGTACTGCACCTATCAGCAGTACCACTGCTGCTAGAGACACAGGCAGTGCTCTGTTTGATAATATGATAATTTCACAACTGTTTGATAATGACGACCTTTCATCCCTGGAACATATCGAGTATAGCATACTTAAGAAGCAATCACCGACCAAAATGTTGGCCCGTTTGCGATTGTTTGTAAGCAAGTTGAAGAGCATGACAGAGATGATAGAAATACGGCTAGAGAATAATTTTGTGAATCATATAGTGTATAATTAAATATGCTGCTAAACAAGGTCTTAATGAACCTTCGTGCGCTCTGGATATAGTTGGC